TTAAGTAAAGTATGTAGAGTCATTTTAGGATGATCATGGCACTCTAGTTAAAAAATTAAAATTCAATTTAAAAACAAAATTTGGGCAAAACTCGATTCAAAAATTGTGCATTAGGACGTAAAAAGACCTGTAGAATCCGAAAAACAAAAAATATACAGGGTGTGCCATTTAAAAATCAAAAGTTCCGGTCATTTCCGGTGGAACCGGAAGTCAAGAAAACTTGTCATAAATTCATAAAAATGGCGTTTGGATAGAATATCAACTCTACCAAGTTTCGTTGATATTAATGGACAAATAAAAAAATGGCAGCCGGAAAGTGATCTCGTGGGCACCCGGTATAGGGTGCGTCGAAAAGTTTTTTTTTTTTTATATGCAACGCCATTTATATTTTCATTATCCAAAAAGTGTTCAAAAATGCAAAACTATATAGGGCGTTCCATTTAAAATAATGACTTTTTTGGCGCACCCTGTATACTTATGGCGACAAAAAAATATCGTTGTAGCGATTGAGATCGTTGCAATTTACTAAGAACTTTTCCAATTTAAACATGCTTTGTACTTTGAATAATAAAAAAGTTACTGAGTGTTCCAGTTATAAACAAACACTTTGTACCATACAGGGTGTCCCACGGTGGATGGCGTATTAGACGTTAATGGAAAACTAAAAATCGGATCATTTTGAAAAAAATATGGCAACTGGGATAAACGACCATAATCTACACTTTGAAAATATTTTTGTTCATGCGGTGTTGCCGCTTCTACTCTGAACCAGTGGCAACATCGCTATTTTAAATAGAACACCCTTTTCGTACACTCTGCATATTATACCAGAAGTTGACCCGATTTTTAGCAGAGAATGGATAAATGTCACAGCTTGACACCTCAGAAATACATTCTGTTAGTACATTGGAAGAAAAAGGGGAGGTGATTGCAAGAAATATTTGCAGATGATTTTTAAGATGAATTGGGAAAAATTATTAATTTCGAAGGAATCGAAGGTTATCTATTTCTTAAAGAAAAGTCATCTATTTATATTCCTACTAGGAAAATTCCTTATGCTTTAGAAGAAAAAATGATTCGTGTATTTTAACTAAGTTGGAGTATAGCAAGTGGAGAACTCCAATAGTTCCAATTTTGAAGTCTGATGGTTCCGTTAGGCTATGCGCTGATTACAAAATAACAATAAATAAATTACTCAAGAATGTGAAAGATATTTTTGCGAAAACCATGCTCGGTGGAAAATCATTAATGACACTGGATAGTACAGAAGTCTATTTACATATGCCAATGAATGAAGAAAGTGCTAAAATCCAAGCTATTACAACTCCAATAAGGGATTATACAGTAAATCGATTGATGTTTGGGACTGAATAGTGACACCGGCGATATGACAAAGATGTATTACAAGAACATTAGGGGGGATTCTTGGTGTTTGTGAGTTTTTGGATAATATAAAAATACAAGGGAAGTCATTTACAGATTTGGAAAGGGGTTAAACTTGTGTTTAGGAAATTACAAGAGGCAAGAGGTTGGCTTAAGAATTCAGTTGGAAAAATGCAAACTTCAGTTTGTTATTTGGGACATTCAATTCCAGAACATGGATGGCATTAAAAAAAAAAATGATGACAAGTTTGAGGCAGTAATAAAAAGAACAACGAAAATATCTTTTTCTACAAACGTGTTAAAAATGCAATTTTTAACACCCCCTCGAAGCATTAAAAATGTTACTTTATTGCACTAGTGTTAAAAGTCTTTAAGGCACTAGTGTTAAAAATGAAACATCAAAATTTGAAAGCAAACGTCAAAAAAAATTTGTATTTTTAATTATTTAAATTAATATTAATGGTAAAATTTGTACAACTGAGGAAGCTCCATCGGCCGCCTCCTCTATATTTTTCAAGAAATTGATGCAACCCTCTTTTTCTTGTGTATTTGTTGCATTTTTAGCAAAAAGCTTACTGACCACGATAGACCATACGACAGACTTTCAAGAAACTGACGAGACATTTCATTACCTGTAAAACAAGGTGCTGGTTGTTTGAATTTTTTGACAAATATCAAATTCAATAATTTTACGTAGGAAAGATGCTTCCAATTTATTATTCATTTAAAAATCCAATTTGTCACTGGTTATTGCTTGTTATTGCCGTTTGTAGAAAAAATATTGTATGATATTTGTGTTAAAAGTATTTTTAAGGCACTTATGTGAATTGCAGAATTCGCTTCGCTCATTCTGCAAACTTTCACATGCGTGCCTTAAAAATGTACTTTTAACACTTATATCATAAATAACTATTTTATTATCCTTCAAAAATGGCAACTTCTTTCTAATTTTAACGCCCTTGTAACTTTAACCGTTCCCAAGATAGCAATACTGTCCTTATGAAATAGTTGGGACCATGTATACTGGAGTTTGAATACATTTTTGAAATATCCTCGAAAATATCTATACCAAAGACATTTTAAAGTGATAACTGACACAAACCGTTAACATCAATATTTCCCCCTTAGAAGAAGTTGCCTTCGATGGTGGCTCCACTATGCATTATTTATGCAAGGTTGTGATTTTGAAATTTCTTACAGATTTACATCTAATCATGCAAATGCAGATGCTCTATCAAGATTACGTCAAAAGAAAAATCAATCGAATAAAGAACCAGTTTATGATCCAGTGTCAGGCTATACAACTTCAACCGATTCTAAAACTACCTTTAACACATACAGAAGTTGTACATGAAACTAGAAATGATGTCGTTTTGTCCAAAATATGTATATAAATGTATGCAGATTGGAGAAAATATTACTGAACATGGGTTAGTTGATGCCGAGTTTTCATTGACTGACGGTGTTATCATGAGTAACATACGGATATTTATTCCAAGTTGTTTGAGGAAAAGAGTACTTAATGAACTTCAGGAAGCTCATACTCATTATCAAAATGTAAAGTTTGGCAAGATCATTCGTGTGGTGGCCAAAGATTGATAAAAATATTGAACAATTAGCAAGAGAGTGCATAAGTTGTCAAAATGTACAAAATAAACCTCCAAAACCCATTCATATTTGAGAAGAAACGAAAAAACTTTGGCAACGTTTACATGTTGATTTTGCAGGCCCATTTATGGGTAAATATTTTTTTGTTTTAATCGGTACATTTTCAAAATGGCCAGAAATCGTACCGGTACCTTCAATAACTGCTGCAACTACTATTGAAGTATTGCGAAACATTTTTGCCCGTTTTGGATTACCATTAGTTTTGAAAAGTATTAATGGACCAACCTTCACCTCAAATGAATTCAAACTTTATTTGGAAAGTAATGGCATCAAACATAGGTTCTTCGCACCATTTCATCCAGCTACCAATGGACAAGTAGAAAGGTACGTTCAAAATTTTGAGCAGGCTTTAAAAAAGGTAATTGAAAAATCAGAAGATTTGGACCAATAATTGGAGAATTTTTCAATGCGATACCTATAGAAGTTCTAATTCAACTATAAATGTTCCACCTTGCGTAAAATTAATGAATTATAGGATCCGAATGAAACTTGACCTCATTAAACCTACTTTACAAGAAAAAGAAAATTTAAATTGACGCTCAAAGAAAAAAATCTTAGGAATTTGAAGGGGGTTGAAGGGTTGGAGTTCGTAATTTTTCGGAGAAAAATACAAAATGGGAATATGGTCATATTGCAGCAAAAAAGGGGTTATAACATCTATATATATAAAACACAGTTGGGTTGGTTCTACTACTTATAACTCGAGAACGGCTGGACTGATTTTTATGATTTTTGCTTTATTGGATTTGTCTTTGTCCCTAATAACATAATACATCGAAAAAATCCCCCCCAAAAAAAAACAAAAAAGCCCGCATACGGCGTCATCTCTTATAACCGATACCAAGTTTACCGCCACATTTTCATTGCAAACCATTTTGTATACGGCGCCATCTCTGATACCTAGAACGAAGCTCGTCGTTGCGCGGTAATTTCATTGTAGATACAGTAGAACAATGCTGCTCAGGAACTGGAGCTATTCCGAACAAAACTATTCCACTATTCCGATCAGATAGAGTGGTGCAGAAAGAGTAGATCAGATAGAATAGTGCAGATAGAGTAGAACAAATGGTGTGGAACAGGGCTGCGCTGGAGATTTTTTTTTACATTCTTTGAACATTCCTGTGCCTGAGTTTATTTATTTGGTGGTACACTTCACAAGAATAATGCCCACAAGCTGCCTAAAAAGGGATGATGTAAAATTTTAATTTTAGGTGACTTCTTATCCAGAGAGAAAACAATAATTTTCTTCAACCAAAGCCAAATTCACCATCGAACAAAAAACTTAATTTAATTCAGCTAAGATACGTTAACACAACATTTAATAGGTATTTATTAATTCAGAGGCAGTACGAAGTTCGCCGGGTCAGCTAGTTATTTAATAAAAGTGGATGATGATGGCCGTTTTTGGCGTAATCACGTTGACCATATTGTAATTACATCAGGTTCCCAAAAACACGGTTAATGATTATATACCTGCAGTTCTTTTGGAAGAGGATATAGATGAATACATCCAAAATACCAATGCTAATATACACTCGACTATACAAGAAATGACCGATGAAGACACTAGTATTACTCTACAAGAAGAATTTGGTGAAGACATTCAAAATACTAGTGATACTTTACAAGAAAAATCTAACAATAAAAAAAAGGATAGTGTTATTGAGGAAGGGGATACACAAGATCCAAATACATCTGTTTTACAAAACACCATGAAAAAACGCAAAATTAAGCCAGTTCAGAAAATTAATTTATAACGAAGACTTACGAGGGAGGATTGTTATATATTCAGCTAATTCAGCATCAGGTATTTTTATATCTTTTATCTTTACAATATGACTAGTGAAAGGGGAGTTTTGAATTGTCAGTTTGTCATTTTTGTTGAGAATAAATAGTTGACTTGCAAAGTATATTGCATTAATTACATATTTGTTAATGATAATTCTTACCTTTGTCTGTGGATGAATCAAACTGACCCCGTGCTTATTAATGGCAATCAGTAACATTTCAGGATAATTCGGATCGGTGGTTTGTTTGACTTCGAAAAACGCCGATCCAAAAGTGGGCCACCTGTAAACGACTTTCAAAAATCCTATTTTTGCGTCGTCAGGAGACATTCCGGCGTCTTGGTTGTACGCCGCCACGATGGAACGTTTCCAGTCGTTGGCCGATTGTATTTTCATCAAATCAGCTGGAATCAGTTCTCTAAGCATTTGTCTATAAAGTAAATGATTAAAAAAAAAAGGTTTTAGTAATATTGTTGAGTTACTAACGGTAACATTTGTAGCTCCTGTTTGCTCTCTCCAAAACGTACTCTGTAAACTATTGCCGCTAATTTGATAGCCTCTTCTTTGGTACACTTGTGGTACCCTCTTATTAGTTTGGGTAGTTCCTGGTGGAAATGGAATATCAAGTCGGCGTTCCGGTCCTTGCCCGGTACAGTGTTTGTCCATAGTTTTTTCATGAAAAATACTTGATAAGAAAACGTTGGAGTGAGGCCGTCTCTAGAAGGTCTAGCTTTTCTTATCCAATCTGTTAAATGTCGTACGAAATCGAAAAAGAAATCGCCTTCTGGGACCGAAATCACCTTTTAACATAAAATTATTCAATCACTGGGTAAACAAATATGTCTCTATGGCTTACCTTGTCCGCTATCTTAACAAACAAACTAAAGCCTTCGCTGGATCTCAAACTCAACCTTTGACTAATATTCTGGCAAAAATCTTTAGCCCTCGTACTAGAATCCACTTCAAAAGCCTCATCAGTATCGTCAGGGAAGTAGACTTTGTGAAATATTTGGGTAGTTTTGTGCTGGATTGCTTCTACTTCCACTTGATGCGGAGGATACTTCCTTTGTCCATTTCTCAACGTTTTTTGCAGTCTTTGTAAAGAGTCTTGGGATATCGGATGCCTCCTGCTGCGCAGGAAGGCTGTCAGTTCTTTCAAGAGGCTTTGGGAGCATGTGAACAAACCTAATATGACATAAAATAAGTAAAAACAAATTCAATAATAATTGTCTATGGTTTACCTGTTGCTAGCCACATTAACTCCCATCCCCTTTCCTCGGACATTCGATTCCTGTTATCGGTCAGTTGTTTCATAATTTGACAATAAATTTCGTCTCTTAGAATTTCGTGCTTCAATGGGCCATCAAATATGTGATCAGTGTACTCGTTTCCCATTCTCGGTCGCTTCGATGGCAAATCGCCCATGTATTTTAATATTGCACTGAAGGCGAAACATGCCTCTTCTGCAAATAATAGAAAATAATTCACATTTTTTCAAACAAACAATTTCAACAAATTCTTACCTGCCAATTCCTCTTTCATCAACAACTTCTTCAACAAAGGCTGCTTGATAGGATCCCTAGAATGTCTCCACAATTCGTCTACAATTCCTCTTCTACCTCCACTCAAAGTAAGAGCCTTGGAAACTGTCCTTTTCATTGGAGGCCTGAAATGATCCATGGCATATTCTACCAAACTGTGAGGCCTATCTTTGGCTTCAACGCCATTTAAAGAATGATGACTCAGGCGACGTTGATGATCATTAACACCTACAGAGATGTTTTAGCAATAAGGCAAATCAATAATGAAAATGTTACCTTCAACTGAAAAAAGCTGCAAAATATCAGCAGGCGGTTTGCTCATGCAAGGCAAAACATAAACAGTTTCAGCAGGAAAATCACCCTTTTCTTGAGTTCTTTCACATCTACAAACATATAACACACATGCAAGAAATAAACAATAATCAATAGGCGAAATTGTTACCTGCCAACACACCAACCAGAATTCAATACAGTTTCTCCAGTACTGTCTTCTTCCAATATAATCAAATCTCCTTTCAGAAAAGTCAAAAAGCTAGAGCCTTCTCCAGGTGCTTTATAGTCTTGCAAAGCTATAACGTATTTGGAACGTTTTTTGAGGCCCTCTAAAAAGTACACGACCAAATCCCTTATGTCTTCGGCGTTGGGGCTTTGAAACGTAAACTCCTCTCCTCTAACAGTATTCAAACTAAAAGTCTGCGTAAATACTTTATTCGTTTTCTGACTAGATACCATTGTAATTTCGGGAAACGACAATTCTAAAAGCACTTGCTCTTGATCGTCCACAACATACACCCCGGTCCAATTAACTGCAATGATAACGTCGTTTTTAGGCAAATTAGGCCCAGAATTCCTGTAAGCTTCATAAAATCTGGAAAATAGTAGTGGCCACTTGAACTTTGCATAGCTGACAACGTCTTCTTTGACACGTAAAATGTTGACTTTTTCTTTTATGTAGTAACTTTTCTTGTAGGCTTGGACTACAAGGGCCGCCCAACGGTCTACAGCTTTTTCGACGCCCGTTAGGCAATAATCTGGGATGTAATTGGGCAAGAGAGTTAGTAAGCGTTCTACGTTCATGTCGGTGCTGTATTCGATGTAGTATTGTTGAGCCGCTATCATTGCTAGGTCTTCTTCTTTGTCACACCTGGAATTTGAAAGGTCAATGGTGAATAATTGACTGTTGTAGAATACTTTAATAAAAAAACACTACTAACTACTTTGACCACTATCTATGTGCAAGACATGTGTCAAGGAAGTTATCATATTATAATCATTATCTAGAGTTTTTGTTTCGGTGTCTCTGCATTCTAATTAATAAAAAGTAATTCAATCGATAAAGTGAATAGTTATTCAAGAAGTTAAGGGCCCAGATACTCCCGAGATTATCTAATTGGAATTGGGTGGAAACTTGAACAAGGAAAAGTTAGGTAAAGAAGAGAAATGGGTAGCTCACGATAAGGAAAATTGAAATACATAGCAAAAAAGAAAAGATGGCAGACAAATTATTTTTTGTAAAATCCTTCGACGGAACAGCATATTCAAATTGGGACTTTGGAATTAAATTATTGTTGGAAAAACAAGATGTAAAACATGTGTTAACTGAAAATTCGGCTTCAAATCTGGGAATAATTTAGTATATGAAGTTCTAGAGATTATCTAGAGACTAAAGTTGCTTGCTATTGTATCCCTAGTATTCTTATATACAGTTGGAGACAGATCAGAAGACTGTAACAAGTTTAAAAATTGATTGGTGGAATTTACACTGTAGCTCCAGCCAGTGGCGGTTCGCTCATATGGGCAAGGTGGGCACCGCCACCCTGGAGAGAAAATGGAAAAATAAAAAATACCTTTAATCAAAGATAATCCTACTTCGGAGTAGGATTATCTTTGCTTTAATACAATATTTGAAAAGGCCGCGACCTTGAAAATCTAAAAAAAAATGCCCATGGCTGTGTTTTTAGCTCACTGGCTCCAGCAACTGCAGTACTTGCAGATAAAAACATTCCGAGATAGACACATATACCAAAAAGTACGATTGTTGGTAATTTCGAGGCTGTGAACCTAAAACATTTTGAACCTGCAAAGCATGGTGAGGATTAAAGTATTAAAGCAAGTTAAGATTCAAGACCTCAGTATAAGAATTTTTCTGAATCCGAAATTGTTTGACATACTTGGGCTTTATGGCAAGTTTGAAGGCTTTCCGGCCGTACCAGGCTGGAATTTATTTGTGGAGTAAGCTACGACAGACCTCGTTTTTTAAAGAAACATTTGCTGCTAATCTTCCTTTTATAAATGCCCGGCCCCCCGACAGACTACGATACAATATTTACGGCTCTATTGGAAGCTGCAGATAAATGTAAAGCAAATGGTCAGAAAATATGTATAATGACTTTCGATCAACTACTCTTCTTGAAGGCACGATTCATTATTTCAAATTGCACAGACTTCAGGCAGCATAATGTGGTTTTTAGATTAGGCGGATTCCACTTATTGGTGTCGTTTTTAGGGTCCATAGTTCACATAATGGACGGCAGGGGTCTGACGTCTGAAGAATTTATTCAATAGCATTCACGCATTAAATTTCATAGAAAAAATCATGCTGACTACAAAGCTCTAAGAGCTCACTTTTTAGCCGAGGTTGCACTTATGAAGATGATAAACTTTCCTTCAGAAATTGAAACAAAACTAAACGATATTCTTCAAAATTGACAAATCAGTAATCCTTGCATCTGAGCCTGATGAATGTCGCGAATTCAAGGAGAAGGTAACTCATCAACTGCAACAATTGAAACAACGTGGCTCCACAGCTCAGTTCTGGGTACAATATATGCAGCTTATTACTCTTGTGAAAATGTTCATCTTGTCTGACAGAATGGGTAACTGGGATCAACACCTTGAAACTGTCAAGACACTTTGCGTATACTAAATGCGCTCATCTGTATCTACAAAGAGACGTTGAATTTTAAGAAAACAATGTGCGTCAAAGAATTTGAAAAATTTAGTAGGTACCTATGGTTTTTTCACAGTTCGATGATCCAACAAATTTTGGTGTGGGAGTTCGACTGACATGATCATCGAGCAGTTTCTCATGAATAATATGACTCACTTCATGGAGGTCTCACACACGGTCGTAATGTGGGAGAAAGTGTATTGGCAAGGTGGGCATTGGGGTTGACCTCTGTGCAACATGTTTGTGAACAGATCGAAAATTACTGTGGGGTTACATTTCAGTCATCAGAACAGCACGTAGCAACACTGAAGGACTCAAGAGTTAAAAGGGACAACAAGGATGAGACCAAGATGTATGAATGACTCTTGCATTATTTTCCTTTCACTGAAAACCCTGCTCTATATTCAATCAGCACTGGTATTTTAGCAGACGAGATCAAATTATTTGCCATAAAGCTTGGGATTTGGGCAGAAAAGGTACTTCGGAACTGTCAAATTTAAAAGGAATGACCGAATGCGAGTGCAAACTTTGACAATAATGACTAAATAGTGTAATACGGATAAAAACGAATTGATACCTATCAATCCAACAAGTCTGTTTCAAAGAATGACCATTGTCAAACATTCAGAGGAGCAGCTCGAGGAATTTTTTAACTACGATCTCGGCCCTTTTTCCTTGACAATGGTTTACGAAAAGGAACCAGGCGTACTCTGTATAAAGCATTTAAGTCCCTTACAAACAAGTGTAGTGATTACAGAAATTTTAATCAAGAATAACAAGGACCTACCAAACAACCATCCCAGGAGAAATCATCACTTAGACAGCACAACCAGAAACTTTAATTAACATTTATCTGAACATCGATATCCAGATTTTATTGAAAGCCGATACCCTATATTGACTAATACATTGGAATGTGAATAAAGCAAAAGTTCATGGACCTTTTTTTTTAAGTGCTTTCAACAATTAACATTCCAAAGGAGCCGATTTTTTTTTAAAAGGATCAATAAATCACGCACGAGTCTATATGATGATACCCACTTAACAAACCACTTAGCGACGCCCTTGATAATTAATTGAAAGGGAACCAAATACACTAATTGATCGGATGATTCAACCACGAAAAATCGAGGTCAGAAAAAACAAAGAAATTCAAGACAATGGAGGGACCAATGATATAAAAAGGCAACTTTGGCAGGAGAAAATCATTGTTCGAGAAAGAGCGAGTGAACGAGTAGAGCTACGTCTGTAAACCAGTGTTCGGTTGAGTAATCAAGAAACAAGTAGTAATCGAGAATCGAGAGACCTGTGTCCAGAAAGTCAGAACTACGGCGTGAAAGAGTTGTCGAATTAAGCGAGAGAAGAAGCACGATGTGAAATAACAGCGCGAATATATTCGAGTTTTTTATTAATTCTTCATAATTGAAGAAACCCAATAAGAATTTCATGTAATTAGGTGTGGCCAGCAGTAAATATATTATTGTTAAATGTAAGTAAAGTTTTTTTATGTTCAGCCAGAAATTGTGAAGGCAAGAGTGTGAGTCGAGTCAAACTGTGAATAAAAATTTTACTTGGAATCATAGATATAAATTTTCCTTAACATTTAATCGATGCTTATTAGACACTGAATAATTTTATTGTAAGATTATTTATGACAGACGCCTGTTATTTATTAACAAGCATTATTTATTTTGATAAAATAAACTTTATTTTAATTGACCACAATATTTCTGTGTTTTACACTCCACCCGCAAATAGGACCCACTTTAAACTGTGTCTTCACTCAGAAACTAAAGTCACCGCTCGCCAATTTGACATCTTGCCAAGTTTCTGAATTTGGGGTCTCACACAAGCGGTTAAGTGATCCAGTTCAATACGTCATTAGGTGGCGGGTTTCTTTTGCATAAGGTACAAGGAATCAAACATTTTCTTCGATTTGTGACAATTACGTACAATTATGTCGTATCAAAATATCAATCAAGCATAGTAATTGCTTTTGATGGGTTCCCTGAAGGCCTACACGGTGGTACAAAAAGGACGAAGCGTATTAACGGATCAAGGAAACTGGCTTTAGCTGACATACTGTCTAATCATACAATGATGCCAATAATGTCAAAAGAAAGATTCCTTGCTAAGAGAGAAACAAAAGTCGGTTTATATCAATTATCATGGCGAGGTTTACTTTGGTAGGAACTTCTTGCAAGCAGGCCGAGAAGCAGGCGAAAGAAGATGCTGATACCCTGACACAGCTCTGGAACTGGCTCCAACCAATGAGACGGTGATTATAGTTGTGAAGGATATAGACCTCTTGGTACTTTTGATAGGTCTCTGCAAAGATGCAAATGTTTTCTTTTTGAAACCTGAGAAGAACAAAGTCTCTACAGTTATATTTTCTCCTGCTGATGCTATAAGTGACACATTAATCGCAGATAATATTCTGTTCTTACACGCAATGGGTGGATGTGATACAACATCGACATTGTACAATCAAGGAAAACTGAAGTTCCTTCATACCCTGAGAAAAAAACACTTATCTCGCTGACATTGTAAAAGTCTTTAACGACTTCAATGCTACTCAGGATATGGTTGCTGAAGCTTGTGAACGTTTTCTGGTTTTAGTATATGGATACAGTGGTAAAACTGTGCATTCATTTGAGATATGTTTGCTACATGAAATCTGCTTTTAAGCTCAAGGCAAACAATGTATCACTACCACCATCTGCGGCTGCAACGCGACAACGCTCACTAAGAGTCTAATTATCAGGTCCAGCAATGGTTGGGTGTCGAAAAAAACCCAGAAGAGGAGGTACGGGAAAGGTTAAAAACTAGTCTAGCACCTGTGGCTAGCTTGTTACCATCTGCTCCCCCAGACTTATTGAAGCTTGTCTCGTGTAGGTGCACTACAAAGTGCCAAAGAAGTTGTGGCTGTAAGAAAGCAGGGCTGAGCTGCAGTACCTTTTGCTTGAACTGCGAAAATATGGATCAATGACAAATAACAATATTAATAAAATTCCATTTTTTTATATCTTTTTCGATATTGTATAAATGGCGATGAAGAGCCGGAGCCCTCAATGAGAAATGAGTAGGAGTTGGATTACTCAGTCACTAAACGAATGAATGCAGACGAGGAAATAAGACTTAGGCATCAGTTGTAACTAAGAATTAATAAACCACAAGATGTAGGTAATTTCATTTGTTTCTTTGTATATTGTAGATGCTGATGAAAAGCCAGGGCCTTTAAAGAAAAGGACACATTGATGAAGATACACCCAACTTGACGTCCCCATCACGGTGAACCGTTGATACTAGGAAAAAAACTTAAAGAAAATAAAATGTAGGAAATTTTAACTATTTCATTTTATATAAGATCAATAACTACCAAACTGAATAGGTTTCCAGTTATTTGATAAAAACTGTATAAAGGCAACCGTTGCCCGTTGCCTAATATTTCCGATTTTCCGGATCAATTGCGAGAATGTCAATATTTTACCATCCTTGACCTAGCCTCAGGTTTTCATCAAATGAAAGTAGACCTCAAGGATGTTTCGAAAACCACTTTTTCCGTTGAAAATGGCCATTACGAATTCGTTCGTATGCCTTTTGGATTGAAAAATGCCCTGTCCACATTCCAACGGGTCATGGACAATATTCTCTTCGGCGTTCAAAACGAAAGATGGTTAGTCTACATGGACGATATTATCGTTTACTTTCCTACCATCCACGAACATATTTCAAGGCTTACCGAAGTATTTAAACGCCTCCGTAAAGCTAACTTGAAAATCAATTCCTTTTTTAAAGGAGTTTCCTTCACAAAATCCATTTCTGGTCAAATTTTTTGACGGCAAACTTGATATTCGTGTAAAGCAACCCAAAAAACATAATTTCAAAACTGCACCAAAACTTTCCCCTAATATCTACCATTTGATTGGAGTATTTATGAGAGAGCCGATATGCAAGGGGTGTTCCAAAATGCAACATTTTCAAAAACACCTTGCATCTGAAAAACAAAAAAGACTGACGTTTCTGTTGACAATATATTTCTTTTGACAGAAAAATAGCCAACGATCGCGAAAACCGCATCCTTTCAACTCCAAATCAAACGAGTTATCCCTCAAGTACAGCAGGGTGTCCAAGATTCGATGGTTCAGGCGGGTTTCGGGTATTTCTAGACGAGTTCGAAAAAATCTGACCCCCACTTGCGAGCCTCGATTTTCAAGAGAAGTTGACCGGTCCATCTTGATATCTCGATTCGTTTTTGAGCTACGAACAAAGATCCCCTGCTGCACTGCAAACTTTTCAAAACCCCCTTGTAGCATAAACAAGACTGAGATGTGGTTTTCACCAGCCAGTTTCTCTTGAAAATTGAGGCTCGCAAGTGGGGGACAGATCTTGATCATAATCCAATCACACTTTAAGACAGCGGTTCCCACCCGGTGGATCGCGACCCTTAAGGGGGTCGCATAGGGCTTTTGGAATGTCAATATTAATATACAGGGTGGTCCATTTAGCCTGAGATAAATTAGAACAAAGGCCAGAAATAGACTGGGTGTTCAAGATGACATGAGATTGGCTTTAACAAAAACTCAACCCCAAGAATTTCGAGACTTGTTACGGAGATGCAAGCTCAGTCATCACATTAACAAAATAAAAATTCACTTTTTGTATTTAGTTACGAAATAATGATATTTTTGTTCAAGAATTCTGGAAAAAATGAAATTTTGTTTTTTATTTATTAATGGGTACGGGGGTTGCGACCTTATGAGCAAATCTGTAAAAGGGTCGTGACTAAAAAAAGGTTGGGAACCACTGCTTTAAGAGAACTTGGTTTTCAGCGATCCAACAAAGATCCATGTATCCACCTATTTCAATAATTTTGATCTTTTTAATGATTCATGTTGATGATGTTATTATTTTCACAATTTGATATTATTATTAGTATTATTAGAAGGAAAAGACTAGTCACCAGACACGTTCCCTACAAGAGATACTCTGTAACGCAATCAGAAAACCTATTAAAAAAAATTGGAAAAAACACTAAGGCCACCGGCAATCCAAGAGAAGGACATAGATGAAATTCTCAATAAAATATCACATGGCATAACTACAGCCACAAAGAAAACATGCAGTAGGATAAGGCAGAGATCAGATACCAAACTAAAATTAAAGACCATAGAACTTATAAGAAAAAGAAGAAAAACTGACAGAAACTCCTAAGAAAATAATATCCTTAATAAGAAAACGAAAAAAGAAATAAGAAAAGACCTAAGCGAAAACAAAACAAACAAAATCCTGGAAACTATAGAGAAAAATAAAGGCATGAGAAAACAGAAAATTATGAAAATAAAAAACAATTAAGGAATCTTAGTCACAGACAAACAGAAAATTAGAAGGGAAATATAAATATTCTACGAACAGCTCTACCAAACAATTATATCAAGCCCAAATGGACCACCTAAATACATTACAAACGTAGGCTCAGAAGACATGCCGGAAATATCACCATCAGAAATTAAATACGCACTCCAACGGATGAAAAACAACAAGAGTCCGGGAGAAAAACGAATAACACGGGAAATGCTAAAGTTGGGTGGAAAAACACTAACAGCGACAATAGAAATGCTGTTAAACAAATGTCTGATAGAGGGAAAAATCCCAAAACCATGAAAAAATGCCGAAGTCGTGATAATATTCAAAAAAGGGGATCGTTCAAATATCAGAATATCTATTATAAGGCAACCTTTCACGTAAAAATAGACGACGATCTGAAAACAGACAAATATCACTTGCAAAGGAGTACGACAGGAGGATACCATCTCTCCCGAGCTATTTATCCTAGCTTTGGAGAATGTTTATAAGAAGTTGGAATGAAAAAACAAGGGCCCAAACATCGATGGAGCATACCTCAATCACCTCAGATTTGCAGATGATATAGTCTTGATGAACATTAAAATTTAAGAACTGAACAACATGCTAAATGAGCTAAACGAGCAATCCAAGAAAATAGGCCTAAAAACGAACCTGAACAAGACCAAAATAATAAGAAAAAATGAATGTAACATCACCATAGACAACGTTACCATCATAGAAAATGTAGATCATTACATATAGGTACTTGGGACATACAATCAAGCTGGGCAAAGAAAACCAAACGGCGGAAATCAAACGCAGAATCCATTTGGCATGGGTGGCATACGGAAACATGAACTCTATTTTTAAAGATGAAAAGGTACCCATAAAACTAAAGAGCCTACGTTCTATGACAGCTGTATTCTGTCGGTTGTCACTTACGGCTTAGAAACTATGGCAATAAACCGAAGAGCAGCTGAGCAACTGAGAGACGCACAGAGAGCTATGGAGAGAATGGTGGGAATCACCTCAAGGGATAAAATATGAAATGAACATATACTTGAGAGAGCCAAAGTGACAGATGTTGTGACAAGGCAATGGATCGGACATGTGGCAAGACAGGACGCAGATAGATGAACCCATGCAGAAAACGGCACTCTGGAGACCAAGAGGAACAAGAAATGTGGGACGACCGAAAAAGAGATGGATAGATGATGTCAGAACGGTGGCAGGGGGACGGGACAATGGATGAGATGAGCGAAAGATCGCGGGACATAGGAAAAGGAAGAGGCCTATATCCGACAATGGATAGACATGGGCTGACGAAGAAGAAGAAAAAGTATTATTGGAATATGGGATTAGAGATATCTGAAGTAAAGAATCCAGTATGTATAAAACAAACCAATATGATAAGAAAGGTTTTAGAAAAGTTTGAAATAGTCAATTGTGAACCCCATATGAATTACTAATGCAACCAAAGTTGAAATTGAGTAATCAAAATTTTGCAAATAGTTGTGAAAGTTTACCTTACAGAGAGCTCATTGGTTCACTTAGCTATGTATACTATGCTATGTTCACGACCCGATTTGAGTTTTCGTATAACTTATTTTTCACACTTTCAGAATTGATTCACAAAGGAACATTGGAATCATTTTATGCACGTATTAAGATATTTGAAACGTACACGAACATATGGATTAAAATTCACAAAAAGTAACGATTCCAAAATCCAGATGTCAGCATTTGTAGATTCTGATCTTGCAAATAATATTACAGATAGGAAGAGTATTTCAGGACATGTTGTAAAAATTGATAACAATCTGATAGAAAAGAAAACAAGAAAACAGAGTGTTGTAGCATTATCTACACCTCTATATGTATTTCAGGCTTCAAACCCCACAACAAATTATTGTGTGGAGTTTCTAGGGTCAGTGAATATAAGAAATGTTCCCAGCTTGACCATCAAACCTAATAAAAGGCAAGATATTATCCAGAAATAAGCATCCACTTCTGCTTGAGAAGGAAGACAATAAATTAATATAACAAATATCATATCTGAGAAGACCGAAATTTAAAGATATGAAGATCCGCAGAACCACGTTATAAGTGAAAATGATATTGAATCTCAAACTAAATAAAAATATCTGTAACAAAATTAATATGCCACATTAAAAATCACTAACCTGTACTCTCCAAATTTGACTCCTCTAACAACTTGCTGATAAATCAAATTGGTAGCCACTTGATCTTCAGTGGGTTCATGCCACGGCGCAAAAATCTCCTTCCTAAAGAACAGCCTCCACGGAGCATTTCTCTCTTGAGCTCCTTGTTCCTTAGCGTATTGCTCGCACTGCGAAATAGCGTCCATCACATGATCACCCCCACTTCCCAGCGAAGAAACTTTATCGAACAACGCAATATAAAGCGAAAATCCAAACTGATCCTTTAGGCCGATTTTGTCCGATAGTTGATTGCACAATTCCCTGGCTGTAGTCGCTGAGTCAGCTAGTAAAGTCTTGGTGTTGCCGTCCATGAAAGTTATAGGCAGCATTATGGGTTTTTTAGATTTGGTGGCTTGCAGTTCTAGCCAACTAGGAGGTTGATTTCTGGTGCCATTGTTGAAAGTCCTTTTTAGTCTGTCTTCGCAATACGGCGCATAACCTGGAGGACCTTCGCGGATGAAAGCTCTCAGATAGTTGACGAATTTTTCCGATGGAGCAAAACAACCAACACAAAGAGATAGTAGAATCCAACCTAGGAAATTTTCAATAATTAATAAAAAGGAAACAATAATTTTAACTATCATTCTCACCTCTTGCATGTGAAGATTTTGATGGATTATTTGATAATTGCTTACAAATCTGGCAGTAAATTTCGTCTCTAAGCTCGGCCCGCAAAATACCATGTCCAATAATAAAATGCAACTTTTCCAAATTACTTGTAGGCCTTGATTCCAGCCAAGATTGATAACTATCTGCCGTATATTCTTCGTCTTGCAACTTCCTTCTGACATCTTCTCCAAGTTTATTTTTACGCTTCAAAGTCAATGATACAAGTTTGTTTCTTATGGATCTGGGTTTTTGTTGTTTATTAGTAAAAGAGTCCGGATCCAATCCCATAAGTTGAGCTTCTTGAAATTCTTTGCTTTTAATAAAATTCCTGCCTAAAGTAGCTGTAACCTTGGACATAACTGATGTAGTATCACGTTCCATTGTGTGATATCTTGGTTCAGGTAAATCACCAGTGAAACGAAGTATGGTGATCCAAAGTGCTTGAGCTGCAAGTTGATCTCCTTGAGTGTGCAAAGGTAATAGAGGATGTTTGAGAGGTTTTCTCGAATATTGATGTCCCACGTTTCCTTGGAAATAAGTAGCAGCGAATTTTTGGAATTTAAATTCACTCAAATCTTCTTCGTCGTCTGATACAGTTTGCATTGGGCTGATTATTTCGTTTTCGTTTGTTTGAGCCGGGAGGTCGTTGAAAACTGAAGTTTCTCGGCCTGAAATTTTAAGATTAGTTTTATTTTTTTGCAAAGAATTTTGTCTTACCAGGTCCAGGAGCTTCACTAGAACTATCAGGCAAGAAATCAAACATTGCTTCTACTAATTTGGAGTCGTCCACAGGTTCGTCAGCTTTCCTAGCGGCATCGTTGATGAGATTCTTTTTGATTTCGACTCTTTTTCTTTGCTCTAGTTCCAACTCGATTTCTTTTCTTTCAAGTTCATACAATCTATCTCTGTAGTGTTGTTCTGCAATTTCCTTTGCACGTTTATTACCAGCATCTTTGAGCTGTCTTTCTTCTTTTTGCTTTAATTTTAAAGCTTCCACGTGCTTTTTGTGTTCGAATTTGGATTTTATGTATCTTCTTTGTGCTATCATTCTTCTTACGTGTGACTGGATTTTAATTATTGCCCACATTTTGTGACCGTATTCTCGTCTTACCAAAAAACCTCTAGCGTGAGCCTTAAAAAAAATATTATCAAATTAATTTTTTATTAATAAAATATTCTATGAGACTTACTTGAAGTCCTACAATATGTCCTCGTAAATGCCTAAACCTGTGAGACAAAACCCTAGCCCTAATCAGGGCCTGAAGTCTCATGTATCCGACTTTCATTTTTCTATATCGTTGTCTCTGAATGTAGCCTTTCCAGTATTTTTGTATTATTATCGCGGCCGCTCTCATCCGTAAGAATCTTCTACGATAAACCCAACCTTTGATGTTTCTTTGTAAAACTAGAATTTTTTTGGTGAGGACTCTGTCTCGTTCTTGTTCCAAAAACAAATCGTGAGCGTCTTTGAGAAATACTTTTGTGTTGCCTAGTTGGTAGTCAGATCTTCCTGAAAAATAGATTGTTGTGAGTATAGTATATAATTCTTAAATACTGAAATTTAGTATGGAATACAGGACGAGTAGGTAATGAATTTCTTATAGAAATCGCGCTAGTTGTAATGTATCGTGAACAAAAAAACAAAAAAAAAAAGGTAGAGGTTTATTATTATTTTGTTACTATTAAGATTCACGCAACAGTCCTCAACATCAAATACCACTAGGTTATGGGCCCAAATTTCCAGAACTGAAATGAAGTTATCAACTAGACCTAGACAGAAGAAGAAGACAAAATTGAAAATCACCAGCACCCTAAAATATCTTTAGAAACACAACTAATGACCGAGAGACGTAAACTAGAGAAAGGCACACCACAATATAGAGAAATGAATAAAACAGTTAATAAGGCCATCCGTAAGGACATCAGGATTCATAGCACAAATATGATGAAAGAATGAATAGCACAAAATTCCAAAAGTCCTTAGGAAGAACAGAGCCAAAGGCAGAAATAAAATTTTCCAACTCACGGGTTCTAAGGGCAACCTTGTATCAACAACAGAATCGATGCTGAAAATTGTCGAACAATTCTACACAACACTGTACAGAAAACCAATAATCAATGAACCCTCTAGACCTCCAGTCACTAACGTTAGTTCTGAGGAAATTCCCGAAGTCATCGACGAAATAAAGAAGGCATTGTCTTAAATGAAAACCAACAGGACACCTGGAGAGGATAGATTGCAACGGAAATGTTTAAATATACCGCAGAACCTCTACTGAAGAGAATAAAGGAAATCTTTAATGGGTGCATTGCCAAACAAAGAATACCACAGTTATGGCAAAACGCAACAATCACACTCATCCATAAAAAGGGAGATAACACAAAACTTGAAAATTATCGCCCCATCAGTCTTTTATTTCACTTCTACAAATTATTCACAAAAGTGCTCACAAACCGCCTAACAAACAAGTTTGATTTCTATTAATCCCCAGAGGAGGCAGCGTTCAGAAGTGGATACAGTACTGTAAACTATCTTCAGGCGATCCGCACACTCATAGAGAAAAGCACCGAATACAACATCCCTATATACGTAGCCTTCGTAGATTATGAGACGGCTCTCGACTCTATAGAGCTACACGCCATTCTAGAAGCCTTAAACAGTGCCAGAATAGACCATAGATACTCTGGTATAATATCGTTTATCTACAAAACAGCTACGATGACTGTCAAACTAGATAAAATAACAACGACGAAGAAAATCAAAATGAAAAGAGGAGTCAGACAGGGAGATACTATTTCCCCAAAACTTTTTACACTGTCGCTAAAAGACGTGTTTAAGACGTTGGATTGAAAAGAGAAAGGTATTTCGAGAAGGATTAAACTTGGATGGGCAGCTTTTGGTAGACTGAACTATATATCCAAGAGCAAAGTTCCCAACAACCTAAAAAGAGACGTTTTCGATAAATGCGTTTCACCGGTAATGACGTACGGCTTGGAGACTATGACGGTGACCGCACGAAGTGCCAATAGACTACGGGTTACTCAGAGAGCAATGGAAAGACCCATGATGGGCATCAGCTTTCGCGACCACATTGGGAATGAGGACATCCGTCGACAAACGAAGGTGACTGACATCGTCGAGAAAATATCCAGTTCTAAATAAATGGTCTTGGGCAGGACACTTAGGCAGACAATCAGAAGAGAGATGGGCGAAAAGACTATTATGCTGGAAACCACGTCTAGCAAAACGTTCAGTGGGTCGACCTCCTAAAAGGTGGACCGATGACATACGAACCATAGCTGGTAAAAATTGGATAAAGAGAGCACAAACTCGAAATGATTGGAAAGTATTGGAAGAGGCCTACATTTTGCAGTGGATGGCTAAGGGCTAAAGAAGAAGAAGAAGAGACCTTTAAACTATATTGCACGAACAGGCGGCCAGTTGTTGGGGCGCGTGTTACCTGCCAAGTGGTACGAGCACCCCCAAAAAGTACTACAAGCACGAGCGCCCTTGGCCAAATCACGTGTTAGCGACAAACAAGAAAAGGACCACCTACGGATAGGGCTTCGTCAAGTTAGCCCCCCTACATTCGAATTTTCCAACAAAATTTCAACCACTTACTGTGCTCGAAGTGTGCTTCAATATGCCCTGTGCTGATGATATTTTGAACTGTGCCGTTCCGATACTAAAGGTATAGGAAAAACAAGATGAGAGACTAACTTGACGCTCAGCCCCCCTAAAATTTTGGAAATCAGATCAAACAGAAATGAATTCTTATGCAATTGGAAGTGTGTTGAACTGTGCCGTATCAGGTTTTTCTAAAAATTTCCATATTCAGTCATTTTCCGATCAAATCCTACTAGGGGGCTAACTTGACGCTCAACTCCCCCAAAATTTTGGAAATCAGATCAAACAAAAATAGATTCTTATGCAATTTGAAGTGTGCTGAACTGTGCTGTATCAGGTTTTTCTGAAAATTTTCTTATTCGGTCATTTTCCAATAAAATCCTACTGGGGGGCTAACTTGACGCTCAGCCCTCCCCAAAATTTCGGAAATCAGATCAAACAAAAATTGACTCCTAGTCAATTTAAAGTAAAGTGTGCTGTATCAGGCTTTACTCAAAATTTCCACACTCGGTCATTTTCGACAAAATATTTCTGGGGGGCTAACTTGACGGTCAGCGCCCCCAAAGTTTTGGAAATCAGATCAAACAAAAATAGATTCCTATTCAATCTGAAATGTTCTGGACTGTGAGATTTTTCTCAAAATTTCGATATTTGATCATTTTCCGACAAAATCCTACTGGGGAGCTATTGACGCTGAGCCCCCCAAAATTTCGAAAATCGAATCAAACCAAAATGGATTCCTATTCAAGTGTAGACTACACTGGACGCAACAAAATTTCGAAAGTTTTTTTCCAGAACAGCACTGGTGCCAACGTTGAAATTGCGCCACGATCGACTGGTCATATTGCTGTCTTTATTTTACAAAAGGTTTTGCTAATAAATACTATCTCTATCTTCGATAAACCTCAAGTCAATTCCCGCCCTACACAGGCAGCCCCCGCGGTGACCTGCGGCCTGCGATGTTCAAAATGCTGAAAGATGACAGACAGATCTTGCCGGAAAGGTGAAATCTCTATCGGGCCGAACACTTCACGTTGAGTTTTGAACTGAATCGATGGACTGCACAGTTCAAAGATCACAAAAATCGTAGCGTGAAGGGCCCGTTTAAAGCTCACTTCGAGCACAATAAGTGGTTGCAATTTTGTTAGAAAATTCTAATGTGGGGGGGCTAACTTGACGGAGCCCACGGATAGAATACTGTGGAAAATTCCTTTCCCCCGAAGCAAAAAGTTCCTCATGGGAGTCGGCAAAACAAGCTATTGCACGAGGGCGGCCAAAGAGCTAGAACCGGCCCTGCTCAGGTGGTTTGATAACTTGGTCAAGCAAAAAACAGTCAGAGGTTACCTTATCAACCACGAAGCTGAGTAAGTAGCTGCCTGCCAGGCTATCAAAGAAGCTGTATAGTTACGTCAACTTCTGAATGATATTGGAGTTCTAGTAAATGGCGCGACACCATTTTATATTGATAACCAAAAAAACCATCGAGTTGATACATAATCCCGAATTCCACAGTCGTGCGAAACATGTTGACAAGGGTAGTTTTTCGAGAGGTTTTAGTCAAAGTTTTGGAAGAGGCTATATTCGAGATGGTTTCCGAGGTAATTCTAATAGGCGAGGAAGATTTCAAGGAAGCAGTTACAGAAATAGAGGCAGAGGCTTTCAAAATCAACAATATGAAAATGAAAGAGGAGGTTATCAAGCTAATAGGACTGAATTGAATGCTGCATCTCAAGAAAATCCAATATGTTTCATGTAAACCTTATGGTTTACAATGGTTTAATGGTCTTAAACATCGATTTGGGCTATCAACTGCAATGAAACAGACTATATTCCAGAAGCTTTTGATTGAAAACTTTGTTTGTTGCTTCGTTGCTTGACAACTTTATTATTAGCATTCAATTTTGTTATATTCGTTCGCAGTCTATGTTCTATGTTCTATTCTTCTTGTTCTAGTTCCAGTGAAAAATATGGATTATTCTGATGAGAGGGTCCTTTCAGATATCAATATCATTGCGAAAAACGTTGTGGATTCCTTACTTCCCGAGAAATCAAGACATAATTACGAGAAAACCTATGCCAAACTTGAAGATTGGTGTAGAGGAAAAGGAATCAAGAATAGCAGCGACGAAAAAATTCTCCTTGCATATTTTGAACATCTGTCAAAACCGTCGCTTTTGGGTATATTATTCTATACTATGTTCAGTTAGCACTGCTCTGAGCTCAGCGCCATCTATTTCGGGAATTTCTTCTGAGCCCACGTTCAAGATGGTCAGTTTTTGTGTGGTTTGGTTTGGCTGCGGGACTGACTGACTGTACAGGGTCTGGTAGAAGTCCTGTATCACACACACTATGTCTGTTTGGTCTGTAACTATTTCTCCCAGGTTGTCCTTCATCTTATGAATGACCATCTTTCCTCAGAGCGCAGAGCAGCGCTAAACTCGATGAAAAACCGTAAAACAGCTGGAGAGGACCGCGTAACGAGCGAAATGCTAAAAGCTGGATCGGAAACAATGGAAAAAACAATGCTTATATTGCTGAACAAATGTCTTGAAGAGGACAAGAACCCCAAGATGTGGCAAAATGCCGAGGTAATACTCCTATTTAAGAAAGGTGACCCTACAAATGTCGAAAATTACCGTCCAATCAGCTAACTAACTGCATTGACTGTACAAACTGCTGACGAAGATACTAACAAATCGCCTGGACAAAAAGTTCGACTTCTACCAACCTATAGAGCAGGCCGGTTTTAGGAAAGGGTACAGCACAGTCGACCATATCCAAGCAGTTCGCACACTCATAGAGAAATACACGGAATATAACGTGCCTCTGCATATGGCATTCGTTGATTATCAAAAGGCCTTCGACTCTATAGGGCAAGTACA